ACGTAATACTAAATTTAGAGTAATGAGTTATGTGCTAGTATGATCTGAGATTCTTCTTTGCAATATATTGGCAAACTGGTGCACAGATTATCACAATTTATCTCGGTGAGGTAAGTATGGTAGTAATTACTGGCATTGCGATTCTCAACCACCACTCCACCATGTGTGGGTCCTTCTAGAAACCGCCAGAAACATAATACAGAGTGTTCTGTAACTAACATGCCTTGCAAAAATATTTTTAGAATCCTCATTTAAGATGAAGTTAATATTAGTGAGTAGTAAAAAAATATTCAAAAGAGAGGGGAAAATATGCCATTAAAATCTGTCAAATCACCAATTGGAGAGGTGGGAGAAAAAACATCGAACTCATTTGATTGCTTAATAAAACTTAGAGGTGCTTTGAGTCATCACATTTGAGTTTTTCAATAGGTATTGATGTTTTCAGTCCTCACTTTTGCGGTGTATAAAACGCAACCATTAGAGCATACATTTATTACTTTATTTTTAAAATCGTTTCGGGTTCGGGTAAATCTAATCGGGAGGGCGATTGCTCCTGCTTTTCAGTGGCGCCATCTATGGCCAGGAATTCGACTTCTGCCACGCCATTCACACAACCACAACCCGTTTATAGGGCGGGTCACATTCACACACGAGGGAGAAAGGACATAGAACACACACAGAGAGAAAGAAACATCCATGCCTTGCCCGGGATTCGAACCCAGGACCTTTCTGATGCAAGGACAGTTCCCTGCCCCCTACATAGGCCGGTCGGCGTCTGCCTCTTTTTAATAATGTGATACGACTGTCAGGAAAAGCGGCCGACCGCTTTGCTTGCTAAATAGTTGTTGCTGAGTCGCATGATCATGGTATATATATATATATTATTTAATTAGTAAAATTTTTAGACACTGATATATCATATTTGCTTAAGTTTTAATACCTCAATACAATATAATAAAATCTTAGAATCTTGCTTACTGCCTAGATGCCTAGATTTGAAGTAGTAAAACCTTAACAAATGCGGCACGTTTTCCTCATAACAATTTTTAAACTGTGTTTTTTTTATTTGCTTAACAATTAATTGCAACTGTGACAATTAAACAGTTCCTTTAACCACTCTTTGAATTATGGAGTGATAGCAGTTATTTTTCTGGAATAATTTTTAAACTGTAGAATTTGTTTATTTTCTTAATAAATGTGAAAACTGAACAGTTTTCTTTACAATTTTTAATCGATGGATTTTCCTGACTTTCTAAACAAAGGTGACAGCAGTTTGCATAACGATTTTTAAACAATGGATTTTCTTTATAATGAAACTGTTTGTGTTAATTATGATGATTTAATACAATATGATCATTTAACCCAAATTGTTAAATTATATAGGATTTTTTACCAAGTTTTCTTGAAAAGGTTTTCTCATAAAAAATATAAAATAAAAATATTCAAGAAATGCATAGTGAAAGTAAATCCTCGGTAAAGAAACATAAAAAAATTAATTTAATTGCATTGAGAATACGTTTTTAAATTAACGAAGATAACGATGTAGTTCGGCATTTTCTATATCTTGCAAATAAAATAAATTGACAAAATTAAGCAACCTTCTGAATTGAAATATATTAAATAAACTGCTGATAAAAGTTCAACTTTAAGCTAGGGATTATGCTGTAATCTCGAAAAAATTTATTTGCATTTCGGATGCAAATTTAATGATTTCAGAACAATCTTGTTTTAAAAAAGACCTGTTACTAGATAATTAATAATGCTTTTCTCTGATAACAGAATTTCTAATTAATTAGAAAAGAAAACACACTTCAACGAGTTTAGTTTCTCTAAGATCAAAATGAAATAAATATTTTTCGGCTCTAAAATGAAACTTGCTTGTTAATAAATTATTTAATAGTTTATAATAAATTTTTTACTTGTATCCGTAATTGTCTGTGATTTCATATTAGAATTGTCATAGTTGAATATTACACAAAATCTGATATTACAAGTCATGAAAAAATAGGTTATTTAAAATTCGGATGAACTAAGAAAATTATTCTTTTACAAGACTTAAAATTAAATGAAACTATTTTAGTGAATGATATTTTGAGAATATTTAGTTTAAATATAACTACGGGATTAGTCTAAACTAAAAGTTCGAAAAAGAAGCAAACTCGATAATATGTAAGTAAATTGAAATAATATTTATGCATTAAAACTCTGGTCTCAGGGCACAAATAATTCGCCTTTCAATGAGGTGACTCAGTCCGGCAGCAGACTGATCGTTAAGACACGGTTCCCAGCTGATCACCGAAGTCAAGCATCACTGGCTGCGGTCAGTGCGAGGGTGGGTGACCACTTGGATCAGTCTGCGTAGGGACCTAGGGTGTGCGGTATTGGTCCTCGTTAAACTGTTCTACCGTAAAGTGCTCGATTTCGTGTGCAGGTCGTCGGGCTACCGAAGCAGGGGTGCCATCCCCTCTGCAGAGGATCAAAATTGTGATGGCATGTCTTCGGATCATCCTCAGGGATGTTTCCCAGACCGTCGCCTATTGCCCATTGTGCAGCTCTAGTGCGACGTATATTGACAACGACATCAATGAGGTGACTCAGGGTTGAATCTCAGTGGTGGTTGGTTGATATGAATTCTGCTCCCTGCTAACATCGACCACAGTGGTGACGTAAAATATCCTCAGTGGTAGACGAATCATGGGTTAAAATCCCCTTGCCGTCAGGCTAACCGTTGACAGTTTTCGTGGTTTTTCTTCTACATGTAGCGCGAATGGGGGCTAGTTCCATCAAAAAGTCTTCCAAGGAGGATATTTTCTCTCAATGCTTTTATCCAAGATTTCCCTTGTCTTCTGCGTATGTTCAAAATTTCAAGGCTACGGAGTTGAACATCGAACGTCGTAAACTCAGAATTGGGTCAGCTGTTTCAGTTATAAATTAAAATCCACCGGTTTTAAAAAGATCAAACTGAATTATTAAAACTTCATAATTAAAGCAAGTACTAAATGCCTATTCCATAATAGCTACACGGAGTGCCTTAGAAGATAAAGCACTCTCTTCTGATACGTTAGATCCAGGCTTCAATCACTGTAAAATCTTCTGTAAGCAAATCTAAATAGTTCTTTCACTTCCAAAAATTAAAAGTTTTGTTTTATGCCCCTTTAAATCATTCTTTCACTTTAAAAATTAAAGGCTTTCTTACTTACTCACCGTTAAATAACTCTGTCACCTCTAAAAATGTAAGAATATCTGTTTTATTTCCCTCTAAATAATTTTTTAGGAAGAGGACTAGCAATATTAATGGAACAACATTGAATTAAAACTGCTTTTCTATTAATAAATATATTAATTAAAATAACCAACAACGAATTTATTTTAATGTCAAAAATATATTTTATTTAAACATTTATTATTACATTTTAGAATAAACATAAAGTATCAATTTCTATTAGTTATAGCAGCAAGCAGTCTCTAAGAGAAATGAATAATTTATTTTCATATGAAACAATGAAGATTTCTAAATGTGATCTGTATTTTTACTCAATTAATTTGTATTAAAAATTATGATTTCATAAAATAAACTGTAAATAATTTATTACGACATATTTAAGTATTTTGCATTTCATAAGTAATAGATGTATAAGATTAAATAATTAGTTTAACTACCATTATTAAAAAAAAAGTGAACTAACTGGATGCGGTTACACATTGCAATGGTATTTCACGTTTTTATTGAGTTAATGGCAGTCAGACTCATAAGAAATATCTATTAGGTTGCTGGGAAAGAAAATTTGTTTTTTCCTAACAGAGGAATACGTATTTTTTCACAGCCAACTTTATATTTAAGCTGCCTGGTCATTATTTAGTTTGACAGCTGATGTAAGCAGGACTTGCTAATGAAAACAATCGATTGATTATACGATAGTAGTATCAGGTTGGTGCCCTTTCGAATCTTGAAATGGAAAAGCAGCATTTTCGGCATATTTCATTTTTTTACAATCTAAAAGCTAAAAATGCTGTTTAAACAAGAAAAAAACGTTCGATGTATATGGAAAAGATGTATTGACAGTACCTAAACTGGTTTGCAAAATATCGATCCGGAAATTTTGATATTGAAGATGTACTACGCTCTGGAAGATGTACTAGCTCAGTTGAAGCTGAGGAAGAACCAATAAGGACATTAAGCAAATCGACGAATAACAACTCGTGATATCACTGAGAGATTAAATTTATCAAATTCGACTGTTCATGATCAATTCAAACGCCAAATTTTAATCTTAAAACTCGACATATAGGTTCTTTATACTCTAACGAAAATAAATTTGCTCCATCGCATTGATGTCTGTGATTTGCTTCTCCAACGTCAAAAAAAGAAACAAGGACTAACTTTTAAAGCTCATCATCACTGGGAACCAGATATGGGTAGTCAGTAATAATGTTAAGATATAGAGGAATTAAGGAGATGAACCGGCTCGCTAATTTATGATTCAGCGGTCTCGTTTATCGACTCTCTCTCCTTTTTGGCGATTTTTCTCTAGGCTGTAATTGATCGCAATTATAATGCAAGCCTTTATTTCTTTTAAAATTTGCTACCATCAATTTGTTATTATTAATAATATGAAAAAAAGAAACTTAACTTAACTAAACTTAACTTACTTGTTACTTAAGAAAATGGCAAATGGAAGAGCGGATCATTAAATGCCGCTGATTTGGGAAATCAAATGGACCAGTTTGTTACCAGCAAAGAACAAAAATGTTATGGTCGTGAAATCATGTGTCTGCCAGAAAGATGGCAAAAGATATTGGACCAGAATTGAATATTTAATTCAATAAAATATTTATTCACTATAAGTAAATCTTCGTTCAATTTAATTGAAAAAAAAAAACGTTTCGAACAACTCAATATAAAAGGTTCTTAAGTCACTGTTGCTATATGCTTAACTGATATACGCAATTTTTAGCAATTAATTTTTCAAGATTTATTTCTTCATGAATGATCACATCACTTACCAGTATTTTATCTTTTATTACAGTTTGAATAATTACATAGGGGTTAGGAGACCATAAATTAGCACAATTTTATTAATCTATCTCCAGAGTAACAGGATAGAGAATAATGCGAATCATATTTTAATGATTTAATTTGAATTTATTTTCAGTTAAAAAAAGAAATAACACGGAAAAAACGTGAATTTAAGACACCCCTTCTGTTTGAGTGAACCGTTAAAAATACTTCATCATTAAGGAGTATGAATTTTGCATTAGGATATTGATGGAGAGACACTTCTATTTCTGCTGAATTCATTTCTGATAAATAATAGTTCTCAAAAATGGAATATTCCTGGCTTTAGTTCAACGGAAGAGAACTACGTCTCACAAGTCATTGGCGATTCGTCCTGAAGTTCAGTTTTGGGTTCGGTCTTAATTACGGATCGTTTTCCTGAAGGTTTAGGACTCGGAAAAAATGAAGGCATAAATGGACACAGGCCTATTTTCTCAAATGCATTTTCTGCAGACTGATCAGTTTCAGCTTTGCTATAAGCAACGGAAAATATTTTAGCAAGTCGTGCAAGCTTTATTAAGTCTGTATTTTGCATTTTGTTTTCATCTGAGAGACTATCCAAATACGTCCTTGTTTCTGAAGTGTAATGAACTTTAAAAGATTTTATAAAAGAATTTTCAAGGGGTTGAAGTAATTGGGAAGAATTCGGTGGCAAACTTACGATGAAAACATGGTTTTCTTTTGCTTTATCTAAAATTTCGATATTTCGTACATATGGTTTTCGCCCTTCAAGTAACAGCAGAGCAGGGTTGCTTGAACTTGGACAGGTGTGTTTGATGAAATGGTCAAACCACATCATAAAGATATGTGTTGTTACAAACCCAGAAGAATGGCAAGCCCAAATTGAACCAGGTGGTGTGTGGTTCGTCACTTTTTTCGTAATGCTTTTTGTTGGCCAAACGATGAGAGGTGGAACGAAACAGCCACTGGCATTCATACACACAATCGATGTGACTAACTTAGTCTTTTCTTCATCAGAAAATGTAGAATATTCCTTTTTTCCTCTGAGCCTGATTACTGTCTCAGGGTCATCTTCAACCACGCAAAGACCAATGTCATCGACACTGAAGATTCTGTGCGGCTTCCGGTCTACTTTTTCATATATGGGTGTGTACATATCAAGAAACTTGGGAATATTTTCAAAAGATAATTTTTTGCTTTTGTCGTATGCATTGCGGTTTGTTCTAGAGCGTAAATCGGGATACTTTTTCATAAAATTATGAAGCCACGTTCTCCCAGCAGAATCTTTTGTGAATGAGGTAGATATATTATTTTGCGCGGCTAACTGATCCGCCATTTCCAGTACGTCAACTCCTTTCAAACCGAAAAACTTTTCGTCCATCTCAATGCAGTGTTTTGCCAATTTCTCCTGCAAATCCAGTGACATTACAGGTTTTCTACCCAAAGACTTATCAATCAGTTCTGATGGGTCAAAATCTTTTAGCTTTGCGTATCTACGCAAAGTTACTTTTGGTACTCCAAACATTTTACTCGCAGCTAAATACCCAACTGCACCGTCTCTTACAGCATTTATGGCATTGATCATGCTTTGTTTATCCCATAACTTCCTTTTAGCAGGTTCTCGTTTAGTTTGCATCATTTCAGTCAGTTCAGACATACTTTCTAAAGGAATATCTTTTTCTGTTGATAAATCTATCTTTGCGTTTTTAACGTACCACCGTAAAGTAAGGTAAGGTACTTTAAACAATTTTCCTGCTTTTGCGTATCCTAATCGCCCACTACGAACGCAAAGAACTGCTTTTATCATGTTTTCTTTAGTCCAATTAACTCTTGCTTTTGAAGAAGAATCTTCTTTAGAAGATTCTAAATAAGGTTTTCTACCTAATGGTGCATTAACCAAAACTGATGGTTCAACGGTTTCGTTTTTAACGTATCTTCTTAGAGTAATCTTTGGTACCTTGAACATTTTACTTGCAGCCTGGCATCCAAGAGCGCCATCTCGGACAGTTTCTACAGCGTGGATCATGCTTTGCTTGTCCCATGTTTTCCTTTTTACATTCTTCAATACTTTCTTTACCTGTAAATACAAAAAAATAATTGCAGAATATTCCTCAATAGTATAACAAAAAAATAATTGCAGAATAATCCTCTCTGAATCGCTGTTAAGTGAGCCGGCTGTAATACAACAAGCCATAAGGCTCATGCAAGATGATGCCCATATACATTATGCTCTTTAAGCGCATAATCAACTCGATGTAACATACTGAAGGGAGTGGATTAGATGCGCAGGAATCGTTGCATGGCCTCCACGCCCACCGGATCTCAATCCATGCTTTTTTCTATGATGTAATCATAAACCGCATTTAAACGACGCCTGTAGACACGCGGAAGGATATCATAGCGCGGCCTATCGGTGCTTCGGCTGACATCAAAAGCATTTCTGGAAACTTCGAAAATTATTTTCACGTCGTTTAAACTGTGCAATGATGTCTGTTTACTCCACTGCGAACACCTATTGTAATAAATAATGAAATCAATCTTTTAGTATACTGTAAAAACTGTGGTGTGATACCTATCTGAATTTGGTGTTGAAAAGCTCTAAAAATTACGTGGATGATTAATTTGTTTCACGTTAATGCCGAATCGAACGTTCTTACACGCTTCAAAGGGAGTTAAATCCTAACACTAATAATAGATAAAGCTTACACTAATTTATAGTTTGTTGATGAAGAAGGTTGTGTTTTCGGATCTCCGTAAATTTGGCAAATAATTACCGCAAGAATTACTGAACTGATATGTCTGAACAAGTGGATTTGTGCTCTCAGATCATTAATGAATTTGCTCACTCTTATCAAAACATTTTACTAAAATATCATCTCAACCATTTTCTTGTTTGAATTATGTAAGAAAAACATTTACGGTACTTTAAACATGAATATAGCTGCGGCATATATTATATAGCTGTAATAATTTTAAATGAAGGTTGCAAAGGGTTATTGACAGTTTAGAACAATTATGAATAAATGTAGGCCTAGCAGTCAAAGAATCTGCTCGAAATGAAGTTGTTCGTAGAATTTCAGCTGCTAATTTAAAAACATATGAGGCGTTATATTAAGGTAAATCGACTCAATGAAAAGGGGTAGGCTAGCGCTTGAGATAGCTGAAAATGATACACAAGAAGCATCTTATGGATCTTGTATTAATTCATCATAGTTAGTGGCACAATTTTATATATTTATATGGGTTATTGATCACAAAACTTTAAAGGCAATTTACTCGAAATTATGTAGTATAATTTATACGTTCTTCAAAGTTTGATATAACGTTAACAATGACTACAGTTTTCGTTTCACATAGATAGTTTGGGTTGGCTGGTTTTGAACAATCCATGAAAATTATGACCTATTTTATGGCATTTTTTATTATCTTTTTTTGTTGTCAAAAAACCATCCTTTTCTGAAGCAAAAATATTTTTCAAAAATTTTAAGTGCTACAAATGCTGCATTAATTTAGTTTAAAAAAATTCGAAACGGAATTAAATTGGGATGATTTTTTTCTGCTTTTGAGTACAGCAAGTTATAGATAATTTAAAAAATAAGTAATAAATATTATATTGTATAATCTTAAATTTCTCATTTTTTTCTTATTTGTAGCATGATAAAACGAAGATTAAAATACGTACAGTAAGATAAAATGTTTCAAATTTATAACAATCATTAAAAAAATCTTGTTTTTTTTTAACAAGTTCCTATTGTGTTGTTCTTCATTAAAAGTATTAACAATTTTTTTTTTTTTGATTTTAGAGAAATTTTGTCATTTGTGCTCCTTTTAGTTTCTCATTTTTTTCATAATGCAGTAGTTCTTCATTATCACTTCATTATTATTATCAAAATTTCTGAAAAGAGCATGTGATGAGATAAATGAAGAAATAGCAGACACAAATTAATAAAAAAAAGCAAGCACAAATTAATAGTTAAAGTCATTCATAGGTACGTTTATACATTGTTTGACAATTGCTAAAGAATAGTTCCATTTTTCGCAATAATTAATAATGAATATTGATTGAAAAAATGCAATTAAGTACATATTTTGTTGAAGCAATGTGCATTTAATATTATTAAAAACGGTACCCATATCATCACATCGACAAATAAGAAATTTAAAAATAAAAAAAGTTGCTCCTTGAAAGATTTCCAGAAAGTAAAAAAAAAATGGATCTTATTGCCAAAATGAAACAGACATGAGTTAATATGTGATATTTACATCTGTTGATGTAAGATATGTGATTTGCACTAATGCAGATTTTTCATGTTATTCAAACATCTCAAAAAGCTATCCTTGGGGGGTTATTGTCCCGCTCCTCTCTCAAGGCTGATTTCTGCTGTTGGGCGTGCCTATTGTAAAAGACATCTGCCAAAGGCATCTCAGACATGCTCTATAGCATATAGATACGGGGATTACGCGGGTCATTGCGTACGGACAATATCTTCACTTTCTAGTGTGTCTGATACCTCAACGCACCTGTGTGATCACGCTTTGTCGTCCATGAACAGTAAGTCTGGGCCTACTACAGCCCTAAAAAGACAAACATGATTCAGAACATCTACATCTGGAAGAGGCAGGGATAGCCTGGTTGGTAGGGCAATGGGACCATGTCCAAGAGTTCATGGTCTCGATCCCCGCCGGTCGAAGACTCCTCGTGTAGTGAATGATGGCTGATGCTCGTTAAATCTGTCGAGTCTCAAAGTCCTCCATGTTTCCATAACAACTCAATACCTCTGGGGGTACTGATTCTAGAGTTTCCTTGTCTTCTGTATTGGTTCAGAATTACAAAGCTACGGAGTTGAACATTAGTAGTCGTAAACCCATAATTGGGTCGGCTGTTCAACGACGGATATAAAATAAAATACATCTGCAAGGAACCGTGGTGGCTCAGAGCGTTTGCTTTCCAATGAGGTGAACCGGGTTCGAATCCCAGAGATGACAGATAGATACGAACTCCGCACCCAGCTTGCACCGATCACAGTGCTGATGTGAAATATCCTCAGAGATAGACGGATCAATGGTTAGGGTCCCCTTAAACCCAAAAATTGGTTCGCCTCTTGGGTCGTTCGAAATTACCTCTGCAATACCGCTATAATATTACTCTACCTCACTCAAAGATGTGAAGAGATGTTCTGCCATTGAGCATAGTGCCTGCTTACACCAATTAAATGGACCATACCTATCACGTTCATGAGCCAACTGTCATGCACAACGTGTTCCCCTGTCTCTCCACACTAACTCGTGGCCAGAATCACCTGTCGCAATGAAATGGGATTCTTTGGATGAAATCACTCTGATGATCTAATATGTTCCTTACACAATCTTTTTATGGCGCTGGCGTGGTTGAAGCGAGATGCATCGAACAGGCTTTTGTGCATGCAAACTAACTTGATTTAATCACCTTGAGATGGTTCTGGCAGAAACATGTGTACCGGTAGCGATTGCAACTATTTGAATAAGAGTGACATTTCTGTTCTGTTTTGCTACTAGGAACACATATAGATTCTCTTGAGGTGTAGTGTTCCTACTAGGACCACTGGCATGCTTTCGCATAACCTTAGCGACTTCAAAGCCTTATTTACTCGCGATGTCACACTTTTTGACACTCCCATTAGTGTGGCTACAGTGGTGACACTTTGACCTACTTCCACTTATCCAACAGCTCGTCCACGATCGTAAGAGCTCAAACGATGTCTTGCTGGAATTTTGCACTGAATTATTGCAACACCACACTGAATTTCACAGAAATAAGTTCGACAACCTAAGACGCTATTTTGGACAGACATCTAACAGTATGAATTTTCAAATGAATAAAGAGCTTTTCTGCACTACCTTTTATATAGATAACGCTCTACAACTCCCTCTGATCTTGTTTTTACTGTTATCGGTCAACTGTCAGGAACTTACCCTGCATATATCAGTTGATCCTTAGCAATTGTCAAGCAGAGTAATTTTGTACCTGTGCAGTAATTTTATAATTTTTTAACTTCAAATTCATCACAAAACAAGTGACGAAACACTTTTTGGGGACGTGACATAATATAAATTGGAATCACTGATATCATGTCCATTCAATGCATGCTTTAAAAATAACGTATTGACCACGCACGAAAAAATGAAAATGAGAGTAATTTATTGGAAATAAACATATGTTCATTTTTTAATACTATACAAAAACAAATAGAGGGTTTTTCTCTCCATAAATATTATTAATTTTCCCTTTTCGGTTTGATTAGGCCAAGTTTAATGGTAAGAAAGACAAGGAAGGCAAAGAGGACAATTGCATAGAGTCCCGTCACATGACCGATCATTATTAATAAAACATAACAAGACCAGTGGTCTCTCCGGGAATAGAGAGCTCGCCTCTCAATGTGGTCACTCTGGTTCGAATCGTGGTGTATCATGCGCTAGAGTCCCTTTGCCGTCAGGCTAACCGTGGGAGGATTTCACCTCAATGTAACATACATTCGGGCTAGTTAAACCAAAAAGTCCTCCACGAAGGCGAATTTCTCCTAATACGTGATCCAGAAATTCTCTTGTCGTTTCTATTTCGTTCAGAATCAAAATTAGAAAGTTGCGGGGTTGAACATTGATAGTCGTAAACTCAAAAATTGGGTAAACTCCTCGACGACAGCTATAGCTATAAAATAAAATAAAACATAGGACATCTGCAGTTCTAATCAGAAATTTTAAATGTATAATTTTTTTAATTCAATTAAAATATTAATTTGTAAGTATTTTTGCTTTTTTAATTTCCAATCTCAAAAGAAATAGTATACTTTTAATTTCTAATCTTAGATTAAATTGCGCATGACTTGCAAAAAGCCTAATAATATTGTGTTTTATGATTTGTGATGTGTGAAGTAGACTAAACCTATGCATCAACTGCTGAAATAAATTAAAAATTTATCTTTCTACGTTTTGAAAATATCAAAATAAATATTAGTAATTTTAATTTATTATGGATAAATGAGAACTTCCGAAATTAAACAGCATTATTTGTGAACCTGTAGGTTGCATTAGAGTACATTTTATCAGAAAAGTTCAAATTTGAAATATAAAATGAGAAATCCTTATGTTATGTTTCGAAGTTGCTCTAGGCTTAGGACATTCGAGTTTAATATTGCCTAAGGCATATTTTTAAAAAATATATTTTACATAAGCATTTTGAAAATCCTGATCCGATATATGTTTCTACACTCTAAAAACTGTGCCTCTGATTTCAGAGGCACATTTGAATCATTTGTGCCTCTGAATTTTAAGGGCACAACGTACCTTTAAAAATGAAAGGCACAATGTACCTCTGATTTCAGAGGCAAAATCAGATGTACCTCTTAACTTGGAAGGTACATTGTACCTTAGATTTTGCTTTTATGTACCGCTCATTGAAACAAGCATTTAGTGGTACCAAAACCTGTTATTTACCAGATTTGAACACATTTTTTTTTACCTATTTGTAATTTGCTAGCACTTTATATAAAAAGGGACTTTCTGTTTGGTTTACACTATTACCAAGATATTAATTATAATAATTCTTAATGAAAAATATTTCTCAATTCTTTGAATATTGGCCACTTGAAAGTGATCATTTCAAGGGATTCCATCTAAGGCTTTTTCATAGACAATTATAAAATATGTAAATTTATACCATTTCTTTAATTATGTAGCGTTTAATGATACTTCAACAACTACAATGATGCTTTTCTAATCAGATATAGGTACAAAAAGATAATATTTATTTCTGTTAAGCCAAGTCAATATAATTCATGGATTTTTTTTCTTTTCCAAAAAGCATCCTCAAAATGGAAATTTATTATAAATTTAGATATTTTTTAAATATTTAGAGATTTCATAAAATAGTTTTATAAGGATCAAAAATTAAACACTAAATATCATGAAATCTAATATCTTTTATTTTCACACATAAAGAACAATTTTACATAATTTAGTAACAGTTGCAATATGATGTATACAGTTGCACAAATTTGGAAAAACATAGAATATTTTAAAATGATAGATGTAGATTTTGACAACTTGGATATTTTATAACATGAAATATGCTTAAACAAATGACTTAACAAGTGTAAAATAAAAGATTTCTTTCCATTGAAATGAATTTTTTTAAAATCCAGATTTTGGCGAAACATATTAACCCGTTAGGCGCCATCATTCCCATTTTGGGAACATTAGCTTTCAATTTTTTTAGAACTAACTGTACTTAATATTATTTAATCGATGATTTTATTTGAGCTCAGAATATATGAAAAGCCTTCTGCAATTTTTTTGGAAAGCTTGTTTCAAATTTTTTTTTTATTGTATTTTAAAAAACGTGAAATTCTGCATTTTTGCCCCAATCATTAAACATGCATTTGTTTTATAAATATTATTAAAATAAAAATTACTTTCGTGCTTAAACTTGATTACAACAATCGGATATAATTCTCTTTTCTATAATCCGAATTTCGATGTCTACAGTATTTCTTAAAATGTCCTATTTCACCACAATAGAAACATTCACGTTCAGATCTAAATTTCTTCACAATACTTGGCGAATTCCATTTCTCATTAAAATGTTCTTTCTGGCGATCGTTATTACACGGAATAGCTTGTGGATCATACTGAAAATTGGCAATGAGATTTTCTTTAAAGTAATAATAATTATCATCATAAATTTCTGACCTTTCAGCAGGAATAAGCTGTAAAGCACACGAAAACCAAAGATCGAAATTCACACTAAATCTCTTCGCTTTCTGTTCAAAGAGTTCGAAGTACCGTCGAATTCCACACTTCTTGGCATCAATTTTAAACATCTCATTCACTAATTTTTTCTAAAGTAGGAAATCCTTAATAACAATAATATTTGTCACCAATTCTTTCAAAAACTTAATAAAACATTTCTGGAACGGATCCCACCGCTGCCACCAATTAATACATAGCTGTAGCGTATCAAGCTATATTAAAGAACTGTTCAGTTTTTTTATAAAAACATTTATTTCACACCACAACAAATACAATAACAAATATAAAGTACCCGTAACGGGATAGTTAAATCTTATAAAGGAAACTAGAAAAAGTGCCCGTAGCGGGATATATGAAAACTCACCCGTAACGGGATAGATAAAATATCATAAAACAAACTAGATAAACCCGTAACGGGTAATATGAAAACTCAAATTCCACACAAAACTAATTCTAAAAAATCAACAACTTTCTGGTGTTCTAATTTTATCGTCTGCTTTTATTATTTGTATTTCGTCATAAAATATTTCATTGATGTGCGCATGCGCTTCTTCTCCGTTACATCGTACCGAAGAAAAAGAAGTGAAGCCCATTTGAGAGGCACAGGGAACCGGTAAAATCCTTTCGTACCGCGCATTGACTCGCGTTTGCTTTGGTGCCTTTCATTTCTTGTGGTGCCTCTCATTTTTAAAGGCACATTAGTTATGTGCCTCTAACACGAGAAAATGAAGGGTACATTTAGCTTGTGCCTTTTATTTAAGAGGTACAGTTTTTAGAGTGTAAGAGCGTTTTACTGTCTTTTTGCGCAATCTACGAATCATGTCTGGATATGTAGGGGTATAATTCCTATTAAATACATATAATTCAGTTTGCAAACGTGTTTTCAAAATAATAGAAAATAGGCTTTTTGGGCTTAATTTTTCTAAATATAAAAATTTACCTTATCATTCGAGCTTTCTTCTTCATGTGGCGATATAGGCGTTCTTCCTAAGGGTGTATTAATCAGTATTGAAGGATCAATGCTCTTTTTCTTAACATATTTCTCTAATGTATTTTTGGGTACCTCGAATAATTTGCTAGCTGCTAAGTACCCCATAGAACCTTCTCGCACAGTCTTTATTGCATTGATCATATTTAGTTGGTCCCATCCTTTTCGTTTTTTCTTTGTTCCAGAATCTTTATTACAACTTGTACCAGCCAGTGCTTGAGTTGCTATTTCAGAATCTTCATAGTAACTTGTACCATCATGTGCTTGGGTTGCCATTTCAGAATCCTCATTGCAATTTGTACTAGCCTGTACTTGGGTTGCTCTTTCACAATCTTCTGTGTTACTTATTTCTGGCTCATCTTTCCAAATTATTTCAGTGCTGATACTTATAATGGGTTCAGCACCGAGTACATAATCTGTCTCTGGCTTTATTGACTGAATTGTTACAAAACGTTCAGGGCCATTAGTCTCGAATTCTTCTTTGATATTTGCAGCCTCCATTTCTAAATTTAAAAACAATTTAATTACGACAAAAGAATAGTTTACATTTAAAAATTTTAAGTGATAGTATTAATAAAGGGTAAAGACAGTCTTAGGGTGCTTCACCATCAATTGTAATTTGGCAGTTTTCAATAATAAAAAGCAGCAAAAATTTCGATTATTTACAAGGAAAGTTTATTTATTTGTTTTTTTTTATCACCAAACGTAAAAGTTTGGTTATTCAAGATAGCCTTAAAGTATATATGATTGTTAGAATTGATAAAATGGTCGATGACGATTACATTTAAATGTTAAAATATTAAGAATTTTTTTATTTTATTTATGGGTGACTCATTATGACGACATTCATGCTAGGGCACGTTAGCATTTTTGCTGAAGGGGATTTTCTTTTCGATAACAATTAATTTATTTCTTGCAAGTAAAAAAAAAAGTTTTTGTATGGATGTTATTAAATCTTCGTTAAAATCGTTCGTAATCTTACAAAAACCTCCATAAAACTAAACTTTGTAATCTCATGAAATTTTCAGTAATACTAAATATAACATAACAAGACCGTTTATTATATGTTCTATTGTATTCTAAAGTGCTAGTTTATTTAGTGTTAAGGAAGAACCACTCACCGATTAAAATTTCTCAATGAAAATTATACTTAATTTAAACTAAAAGCTAAATAGTCACTAATGTGTTTAACTAACGATTCTATTAAACAACTATGCTCAGTCAAATTATCTTAATGGTTTTATTCCATATTTTTATTATCCTTTATCTTTTTGTAAATATTTGGGATAAGTATTTTGCTTCCTTTCCTGGTAGTGGTAATAAATATTTCACTCAGAATTAATCAGAAAAACTGTCAGTGTAAAAGATACCAGGTAATTATAAGACAAAAAATGGTCTTTTACCTTAAAAATACATCAAAATGTTTTTTCTCTATTAATTTGCTGTAAAGTTAAAACTATTCAAACGCTAAACTGACATCAAAATTAAGGGAGTTATTATTATTATCATTATTATTTTTTTTTAATGAATTCAACATTGTATTTCAAATATTTTTTTTCTACAGAAGTTTATCAGATGATATTACTACTCACAATATAAGTCATGTTTTTTCTAAGCCACACCGAGAAAAAAAGCATGGTCACAACTCCCAGAATATGGTAACATTTACCGTCTTTGAGGTTAAAACTCTGTTATTTTTACGGAAGAGCTTTGGTAATGATTTCGGTAAAATTAACTATAAAATATGATCTTATAATGTGCGATATAGTTTGTTAAAAGTGATAAAATTTGGTAATTTTATCATGCTACCCTAAAGGAAGGCAACAAAACCATTTATAAGATCAAATTTACTTTTCAGTTGTGTAGTTTTTACTAAATAGTGTGGCAATAAGAACTATGATATTTGAAACCAGAAATTCCGGTAATCCGTTACCATATGAATGGTTTAAATACTGTATATTTTGTTTCATTAACCATAACTGTATGTTTTTTTTCTCCAGAAATGTCCCTACAATACAGTACGGTAATTTTACCAGAATCTTTTTCCCCTGCATATAGTTTATCTAAGAATGATTGAAAAATTAGAAAAATCAAAAATGAAAAATAAAGGGATATCTGCAAGTGACGTAGTGTCGGTATCTCTATCCTGATCGGTTGTTAAAACGTGATCTTTGTTTACGTTATTAACTGTTCTTTTCATTCTATTTCGAGTAAGTCAAGCCCGTCAAGTATCAATTCTCTTAAGTGACACATTCTATATTCGTTTAAAAAGAGTCTTTCACAAAAATTTCAATTCTTTGGCACGAAACCATATGGAACATAAACAAACTAATTATGCATCGAAGTTGCCAGGTACACAAAACAAAAATATATCACCGTTACAATAAAATACATAAACTATGAATCGAAGTTAAGTAAAAGACGTAGACGAGGAAGAATTATATTTATATCATAGGTCACACGTGTGAGTATTTGTGATATTCTTCTTCCTGAAGTGTAAGTATCCAATTCCGATTAGAAAGAATTATATATCAACAAATTTAACAAGCAATACGGCGCTGTATTTAAAAACTACGCATTAATTAACATTCTAACTTATGTGGAGAAACTTAACTTTAATTCGCCATTTTGCTTATAAGCGATTAGCTAACGCTGACATCGTAGGTCATATGTGTGGATATTCGTGATCTTCTTCTTCTTGAAGTACCCAATTGCGACTAGCCTCGTTTATTTCTCGAGCTCTTAGATGATATCCTATCCGATATTATGACATCGGATAGGATATCATCCGTCCTTTTTTTTCGTAGATTTTAAGGTGTTTTACAAATTTTTTTGTCCTAAGTAACTTTTAGATTTTCGTTTCTTCTTTTTTCTTTTTTTTTTTGTATATATTCTTATGCAAACACCCATATACATATAATAATCGCAAATGACAGAATTAATGAAATAAAAAAAGTGGGGAAGTAGATTAAAATACATTGTAAATAAATATGTATTAGAAAAATGTCCACACAAACAGAACAAAAAATATCGAAAAGAGTTTTTTTTTCTTTGAAAAAATTTCCGTACAGAATTAGCGTCGGCAAAGGATTTTGAGACGACCCCGCTTTGATAAGCTTTCTTTCAAAATTTTCTTTTAAAGCATTCTCCATTTTTTTTAAAAATTTATTTATTTTATTATTATTCGATTTAAGCATGATTACATATGATCGACAACGACATGGTCTGTTTAATCGTATGTGGAATAAAACGCTTAAGTTTTTTGTTTCATTTTAACAATACTTTATTTTTTCAAAAGTTAGGAATTTTAGAAAAAGAGATTTCTGTATTAAAAAGTCAGAGTTTTTATTCTAACAGCGATTTTATATATATATATATATATATACATACAAAATATATATGCAATATTACGATGTGTGAATNACATATATATATATATATATATATATATATATTAGTATTTTTTTAGTTGTACTGCAATGCTTCCTTAGAATTATATATTCCCTATATTAATTGAAACTAAATTTTGAGGTTGAAAAGCTATTTTTAATATTTAAATGAATATGTAATAAAAAAAACGAAAAGGGACTCAAGGTAGCCAAGGTTGTATATTAAGTCAAATAGTGCAAAAAACAATTCTAAGACGATTCCATGATTCCCTTCAGGATTTAATTCTCTACAAAAATGCAGTTGAAAGCTATAAGCCATGATAAGCACCTTTAACAAGGATAGAATATAGTCAGATTTGTTATAAAATAAAATAACAAAAAAGCGTTCCTGCATGCAAAAGCGTGCACATATGCAACATCTTCTATGCTAAACAAAAATAAATTACTATATCTGAGTGAAAAAAGAAAAAAACATTAGTATGAATTTGTTTGTAAATAAATATTTTTGTCTTTCGCATTCTTAATGATTTTTTTTTTGGGGGGGGGGGAATTCCGCTTCTTCTACATTAATTTACAACATTCAAAGAATGAGTGTTTATGATTAAACAAATGAATTTTTATGCAGTTTTCCAATTTTAGTCATAATATTTTTAGGTAAAATTATTTTAAATAACTTTCCTTTAAGATAAGGGACAGTCCACTCAAATCGTTATTCCATTAAGAGTTTATTGTTTATTTATGTTAAGATGTCCATGAAAATAAAAATAAATTTCTTTTTCCTAAACATTTGCAAATGACAAACTTTACTACTTTTCTTAACCTTCTTTTAAAGCTTATTTTCAAAAACAGTTAGATTATTCTAATAATAAATAAACTATAGATGAATACTATTGTTCTTTTTTAAATAATTTATAGCTCTTTTACTTTTCATTAAGTCATACTTTTATTGGTCAAATAAAACAATCATCTCATATAAAATCATATAACTGAATTACATTTCGCATAAGGAATATTTGTATAACAATATATTTGAATTATATTTGCATAATTAAATTTTACTTAAGCATAAAAAAGAAAACAAAGTACCTCCTGTTATGTTAATTGCACGCAACTAAATAAAAATATATTCTTATATTTTGACTTGTAAACTTAAAAAAACAGACTCAAATTTTGGTAAATAAAAAGTAAATACACCGGTAGAAGCTCACATTGACGAATGTGCTGAAGAAAATATCCATAAGTGTAAGACGGGTAGTGTGTTAAGGGTCCCCATACTGTTGGACTAACAGTGATCATTTCGTGGTTGCCTTCTTCGTTCAAAGCGGTTTGTTTCACTCAACCACCTGTTTTATTCAACCACCATAAAAGAAAAATCCTCCAAACTATTGATCCAGTAGTCTCCTTGTTTTCTGGGTTGGGAACTAAGTTACAAGGTAATGGACTTGAATATTAATGTAGTCACAAATCTAATATAGATCAACTATTCTACACCAGTATAAAAAACTTTAAAACAATTTCTTAGGTTTTAAGTGTCTTGTTATGTAATAAAGCAAATCGAGATTTCATTAAAAGTTTAAAGAAATATAAAACCTAATATTTTTTTCTCCAAAATAATAATTATAATGATAATAATAATAATAATAACAAAAAATGATAAAGGTCAATTATGTGATAAATATTTTTTAGTGTCTGCAAAATAATAATATTTATAAATTTACATAAATCATTTATTTGTTTTATTTGAAAATAAATTTTTTCAATGTTTTTAAATTACTAGAAGTATATATAATCAAGAAGTATATTAAATATACTTACACTCAAATGGCGCACTTAACAAATAAAATCTACCTTAAAAACTCTTTAATAAAACTACCTTAAAACACAAATTATCTTTGCAATTAAAAAAGAATTCTATGATGACCCAAAAGTTTTCAAAATGGCTGCTCTCTACATCTACCATCGACGTTACTTCCTGACATTGTGTTCCATACTGAGCGCTGTTCCGTATTGTGTGAGTTCCCCCTGCTTTTCGCTTCAACGAGAGAAAAACCAGTTCCATAAAATCGCCTTTTCTTTTCCTTCAGTAATAGGATCAGCTGGTTGCTCTGAATTTTAACACAATACGTCTCGCTATTGTTTTAAAGGGAAGAATTTTTTTTATGAATCTTTTAAGAAGATTATCGTCTGCCTAATTAGTTTCTATTACTTATTTTTTATTTCCATCAAATTAACAGAAAAATTTTAATAGTTTATGCATGTTTTAGAGAGATACTTATCTTTTTTTTAATTGCGTTGACTATTTTATAGTATTTTTATTGTTCGAAATATTTTTTTACATTTTAAGAAATATGTTGTATTACTTGAAGATGAAAATACAAAATATATCAATTTATTTACGTTTATCGTCCATGTCTAAAATATTGTTTGCTCTCAATTAAGTTTTAAAACACTATGGATAATCTTATGAAAAAGCACAAACGTCGAAAAATATACGCATGGAATTTATTATCAAGTGTTAAAACTATATATTTGATCCTTATATAAACTTATAAAATAATTTCTGCTTAAAAAGCAGTTCGCCTTTTTACAAAGTTCTTTATTTTCCAATTTTAGTATTTTTTGGAGTAAAATACTAGATTATAAATTCGTTTTATTTGTAGATCGTTTGGTTTATACGAAGTTTGTTCTAATTTAAATTTTAAAATACCGTGGATATTTCTGGTTCGAATTACAATTAGATAAATGCATATCGTAAGAATTAAGAAGTATTATAATTATGAATTTAAACTTCAAGTCCATACATATCGTCCTTGTTTAAAATATATTTTATTTACAATTAAGTTTTAAGACACTATAGATAATCTTGTGAAAAAGCAAACTTCGAAAAATATATGTATGGAATTTATTGCAAATTGTTTTAACATTTAGTCCCTATATAAACTCTCTTAAGATATTGATAATAGACGGCGTTGTTGAAGCTATACGTCTTTATATCTATGCCGTACGCCAGTGTTTCCCTAACTTATGACTTTTGTGTACCCTTTCTTAATTTTTCGTAACGCTGTGTACCACTAATAAAAAAAAATTAATGTATTTTTTACTATAAAAAAATTGCACAAAAGTTAAAAGTCACAACTGACTGTTGACACCACTAATTATTAACTGTTAACTTTGCAAAATATAATGAATAGAAAAATACATAATCGTAAATTTTCATGGCTAGTCTTGTTTTTAAGTCTTGTCTAGTCTTGTTCTTGTTGTTGCAAGATATTTCGCGCAGGAAAGCGTACCCCAGCTAAATTGTTTCCGTACCCCTAGGGGTACGCGTGCCACACTTTGGGAAACACTGCCGTACGCTTACGCTGTTGAATATTACAAGATTATTTTGTTCATCTCACCCTGTTATGTTGTGAATTAGTTCAATAAATATGTCATCGTCTAATCATTTCTTCCTTTTAACACATTTCCTCAATCAAAGGATATAAAACTCACAAAATAGTTGATGCTACGTCTTTATAATTCTTCAAATTATTTATTTTGCAATTTTAGCTTCATAGCTTTGAATAGAATAATAAATTCTAAATTAAGTTTATTTGTTAATTAAATTTGATTTATAATACATAATTTACTATAAATAATTTATTATGTAATTTATCATGCATAATTCGCATAATTCATTATTCAGAATTTATGTTGAGTTTGTTCTCAATTAAATTTTAAAATGTGTCATATTTACTTATTTCAATGTGTCACGCATTGATATTCCATAAATAGATTTTGGAGGTATTTATTTTAATTTAATTCAATAATGGAAATTACTCGATCTTTATGTTTAGTGTGTTTTATAATAATGTATGTTATAACTATATTTTTATTACTTTAACCTATACATTAGGAAATTATATATATTTATGTGTTGTTTAAATATTTTGGGAAAAACTACTTCAATACATTTCGATATGGAAATATTCAGCATTATTTTTTTATCATTGATATAATTTAGCGTTATTCACATCCAGTTACATTACTTACATTTTATAATCTAAAATCATTTTCATTTCCAAATTATGTTTAATAATACTTTTAAAACTAAAAAAAAAACAATTAAAAATTATGTTATACTTGAAAATGGTTTGAAATTAAAAAAATGATTTACTGTTTAATCTAAGTTAATTATAAAAAAAAGAAGAAGAAAAAATGATAGTGTTGCGAAAAATTAATGTTTAAAATTTTGCACACTGTATTTCGGACACTGTAAGATTTACAGTTTGAAAAACAGAAAATTGTTGTATTTTTTCACTGACGCATTTCTTGCTTTCTAATTATATTTTTCATTGTTTTGAATAAAATTAAAAATTGAAAGTCGTATCATTTATCCATCACTTGAATTTAGGCACTGCATGTTTAAAATTAATTCAGAAATTGTGGATACTTTTTTACGATATTTTTCGATAAATTCACGATGAATTGCTTCAATGTGAAAACTTAAAATAATTTATAAGAGTTCAGAGTTATTTTTGTTTTGTAATTGTTTTTTTAGTGCTTTAAAAGAATTTCAAATTATAAATCAAATTATACATTTTTCAGTGATTTGAAATGTACATTTATTTATTGTTCCTCCTATTTTGAATTTCTTAAAAATCTTGTGTCCGATAAATGATTATGAGACAATTTTTTTTTGCAACAATATTGTTATTTATTGATTTAAGAATGGTAGTGGAGAAAAGTTTTACTCTCGCTGGTTATTTATTTATTTTTTTTTTTTTTTTGCAGTTTGTTCATTGATACCATATTATAGAACTGAAAAAAATACTTGAGCATTGCTCAAAAATATAAATAAAGATAAATAACAAAAAGTTATTAATAAATAAATAAGTAAATGAATAATAAATAAGTGAAAAAATAATAAATAAAATAAAATAATAAATAAAATAAAATAATAAATAAAAATAAATAATAATATAAAAAAATATAAATAAATTATAATAATAATAAATAAAAATAAATTGAATTAATAACTTATTAAATTAAACGAATAATAAAAAAAATAATGATAAATAGCGAATAAAAATAAATAAATTTTTATAATATTTTTTGTTTTTTATTGAATATACTACGTAGTTTTATAATAAATGGCATTCGAAGTTCAGCATAAATCCGATAAATAGCTTCCATGAAAAAACAGTTCTAAAAATTCTTATTAATTTCAATAATTTTGATTCTAAAGAATTGTTTAACCATATTTTTGCATCCTAGAGCTTGCATAATGTAAAGAAAGAAGAAAAATATTCAGTAGGTATCAGTAACTATTAATAAAGTTAAAACTCTTTAATAGAAATTTTCTGTTTACCAATATAGGGCTTCCAATATAGTGTTCAAATTTTTTTTATAATCACCACCATTTACTAATATTTTTTACAGTACTTGTTAAAATGAAGACAAAAAGCGGAGTCGGGGGTCATGGGTTAAAGAAGAAAAAAAAACAATGTTGAACTTTGTTGACTAGGATGAAAACATTAAAGTCAGTTATATTACTTGATAAAACTCGAATTTGTTACTAATATTTCTGGATCCTTGGAAATAAAGCAAGTTTTGATGCCCAGGTTATGCCTTCCTCACATGACAATTCGTTAGTTTTTGATAGCATTTTTTTAAATATCTACCTAAATTTTAACTGATTTTGTTTTTTGCAAGAATTCTAAAAATGTTTGTGAAGATTTGAGATTACAACAGGCATAATAAAATCGTATAAACGCGACTTCCATGTTCACTTCAGATCAAATTTTGCTAATGACAGTTATTTAAAACTTTATAATTGCATTCACACTATTCGAAACTTTCCTAGATTTTAATTGATATAAATCAATTCAGTTGTTCAAAAATAATTATTTCGATCTTTTTTATGCAAACAAAAAAAAAATCGATTTTCTAATAGTGAATAAATATTTTTATTCAATCATATATTTTATTTCATTTAATAACCGTCGTTGAACAGCCGACCCAATTTTTCGGGCTTACTACCGCTAACGTTCAAGTCTGTAGCCTTGTAATTTTGATACCAATCCAGAAGACAAGGGAACTCTTGGATCGAGTATTGAGAGAAATTTGCTTTCATGGTGGAATTTTTGATGGAACTAACCCGCATTTGCGTTACACGGAGAGGTAAACCACGAAAGCCTTCCTCTAACTCATGATCCTTCAACCACTGAGGATATTTAACGTCAGCACTGTGGTCGATGTGAGCCGGGTGCAGAATTCTTATCGACCAGCCATTGCTGGGACTCAAACCCTATCCACTTCATTACTACCAGCATTTGCGTTACACGGAGAGGTAAACAACGAAAACCTTCCTCTAACTCATGATCCTTCAACCACTGAGGATATTTAACGTCAGCACTGTGGTCGATGTGAGCCGGATACAGAATTCGTATCGACCAGCCATTGTTGGGACTCAAACCCGGTTCACCTCATTGGAAGGCGAACGGTCCATCCCCTGAACTATCACTGCTCTCATTCGTATGTTGTCCATTCTGGTCCAATACCTTTCATTTTTCTGGCGTAATTCCACGCTCATGAAAGTTTTGTTAACTCGCAAAAAACTGAGCCCGGTGATTTTTTGACCCCCACCTTTAAGGTTTTATCGTCTAAAAATTTTTTGTAGAGACAGAAACATTATTCTAGACAACCCATTGTTAACCGGCTTCAAAAATGGATAGTTTTCTAGACGTTTGAGAAACAAATCATCGACGTTTCAATCCAATTTCTGCCCGTATGAACATGAGGAGCCCATACATCAAACTTTGAGATTAAACTTTTGGTTTTCGAAGGATCATGAACGGTTGACTTCAATATGTTAATTCCGTCAGCTATCTCTGAAGTTGTTATTTGCCGATTTGCGTTAATCAGTGCTGTGATGCCACAATTGGCAATACATATTTATTTTCTATCCTTTTAAAATATTTTTCATTACTTAAGCTTTTTTTTTATTAATAGAATTACATTTCAAATAAATCAAAAACTTAATCTTTTAAAACGAGCAC